CATCACCACCACCCCCATCTCCACCTCACCATCACCATCACCCCCATCTCCACCTCACCATCACCACCACCACTACCTCCACCATCCTCACCGTCACCATCATCCTTACCACCATTACCCTTACCGTCACCACCATCTCATTTCACAGATGAGAACACAGAGACGTGTGCTGTCATACGATCAGTTCATTGCTGCCACCGCTCCGGGCATCTTCGTCGCCCCCTGAACCACCCCCACCCCCAGCGCCCCCGAGCCCACTCACCTGTGCTGTGTTGGTTCTGCAGACTCGGCGGTGGCGAGGACTGGGCTCCCTCTTCCGGAGGGTGTGCTGTGTGGCACTCCCGCTGCAGCTGCTTCTGCTGCTGTTCCTCCTTCTGCTGTTCCTGCTCCCCGTCAGGGAAGAGGACCGCAGCTGCACCCTGGCCAACAACTTCGCCCGCTCCTTCACGCTCATGCTGAGCTACAATGGCCCACCACCCACCTAACCCACTGGGGCGCACAGGTGACTTTCTTCTCCAACCTCCATCAGTCCCAGGGCTGAGGATGCCCACCCGGGAAACTGGAAACAGGGGCAGGCCAAAGACTGCAGAGCTATATCCGTATAAATGCTGCGTCAGCGTTCCCAGAACAGACTTACTTTTTATACAGTGTCGTCTCAGTCTATTTATACTAAATATGTACTACAGGTGACTAGGGATAATGTATAGAATTTTTATATGATCTGTATGTAAGTACTCAGTATGTGTAACTTCATATATGAGGTGTATTTGTAGTTGAGAAAATTCCTAGCAATGTCTCCCTCCAATGGGATTTTGTGGTATTGTTGACTTGGTCTGCAGGCAACCCTAGAAAGCAAGAGCAATAACATGTCACTTTCATGGCAAACTCTTCTCCAGAGCCAATCCCAGAACTCAGATGTAATGAAAAGCCTCTGAGCTGCCACGCAGGAGAGCGGCACAGACCCTCACTCGGAGCCCAGTGACTTGCTTTATGCATAATGAGAGCGAGTATGCTTGTCTAGTTTTAACAGCCACAAAGAGTAGCTGCCATGTGTCAGAAGTAGAAATGACAATGACCAGAGGCAGGTACAGTGATAGCAGTGACAAGTGACAGAGTGACATCAAGGGAGAAAAAGAAGAGCTGCAGAGAGCAGATCCCCGAACTAAGAAAGCACAGCCATGTGGAGGCATCGCATGCGGGAGCCCGGACCCCAGCACTCAGCAGCCTCTGATCACCGAGCCCTCATGAAGCAGGGGGATCCTGCTCTGTGTGTTTCATTCAGGGAGAAAGGGGGGAAGACAGGTTTTATTTTTAAGACTTCATGCAGAATGGTGAGGTGCACTCCGTAAGCAGCTCCCGCTGGCAGTACCCAGGAAAGACACGTTTCCTCTGTCGCTCTTGGACTGAGTTTTCATCGTTGAGAGCTCAAGCTGCAGGACAGAAGGGAAGCATCTTCCGCACCAGAGGCCAGGATCCAGGGGCCAGGACAGAGGTGAGAGAACCTGCTTTGGAGTTTGGCCTGTCTAATGGGCTCTGCTTCCCCTTCCCAGAAGGGACTCCAGAAACAGCAGGTCCACGGGGCCAAGAAAGTCTCATGCGCATCCCCACATGGGACTGGAGCCCAGGCCACCCAAAGCCAGGCCCTCTCCCGGCAGGTGTAGGTGAGCCAGGCTCCATGCACCACCTGAGCTGGGGCCTCGGTGACTCCATGTGAGTTCCCGAGGCCAGAAATTCACCCCTTCCTTGCCAGGGAACTCTGGATAGTTCCTAAGTGCTTTACAACTGGACCATGTTCTTCCTAAATCAACACTAAATTTTCCCTTTAAAAAAAAATACTTAATGTCCACTCTTTACAAATGGAATTTGTCTATTCAACTGCAAATTGGAGCTTCAGAGGGCATTTCCTTGGGCCTTATATCTGGCTATGGAATCATAAGGTATTATAGACCTAGAAAGGCCCTTTAAGTAGAGGGGAAACTGAGGCCCTAAAAGGGCCTGACGCCCAGCACTACTGCCCTCTCGCACACACTGACCCCTTGTATTCCTCCAGGAGCTCTGCCCTCGTGGACCCCGGCGCTGGGCAACAAGGACATTCACGGGGCAGGAAACCCATACTGCCAAGGAGAGCCCCTGGGGCTGACTCAGAAAGCATGTTTTTTGTTTTTTTGTTTTTTTTTAAACTCACCTGTCTTTGTTACAACTTTAAGCAGAATGTGACTTGGCCACTACATTTCCATCCACAGGCCTGGCTCTGAGTTATCATTATTGTTGTTATTATTTGTTATTTTGAGACCAAGTTTCACTTTTTCCCAGGCTGGAATGCCGTGGTACGATCTCTACTCACTGCCACCTCCGCCTCCCAGATTCAAGTGATTCTCCTGCCTCAGCCTCCCGAGTAGCTGGGATTACAGGCACCTGCCACCACACCCAGCTAACTTCTGTATTTTTAATAGAGATGGGGTTTTACCATGCTGGCCAGGTTGGTCTCGAACTCCTGACCTCAGGTATTCCACCCACCTTGGTCTCCCAAAGTGCTGGGATTACAGGTATGAGCCACCATGCCCAGCCAGTTCTTTTTTTTTGAACAGCTTTATGATAAGCTGTAAGCTTATAATTTTGCCCTCTAAACAATTCTTTGGAAAACAAGCCCCGTGGACTCTCCATATTCCATCAAGTTCCTTCCATCAGGTTGCTTCAGTTTACCCTGTTTCTCGAGGGCTAGTACATGCAGAATTGGCAACTACAGGGGGCGGAAAGTTCAAAAAGTAGATCCTACAACCCTGTGGCTTGGTTTCCAAATATCTCTGGCAAACTGGGAAGAAGAGAAAGCATACTTTTCTCTAGATATTTGGTAACCAAGCCATAGGGCCGTTCTCTGCTGGCGACCCCCTTACCAGAAAACCAGGGGTCGAGTGAGCCAGGGCCTCAGGCGCAGACAGCCAAGCCCAGATGTCCGGAACCGGAAGTCAGAGCCGTGGAGTGGGGGTTTGGCAGCTTCCCACTCTCCTAGTTCACAGGTGAGAAAGCTGAGTCCCAGAGAGGGGAAGACACTTATCCATGGCCACGCAGTGAGAGGCAGCAAGGCCAGAAGGCAGCAAGGGCACTGGCCACCATGGCCCTCAGGCAGTGCCCTGCCCATTGTGGTGTGAGCCCCCTGTGTTGGCAACTTCAGGAAAAAAACAGCCACTGGGCACGTGTGCAGCTTGTCACATATACCACATGTTGGGGGAGGAGAAGCTGGAGCGTGGGGGCGGGGGTGAGAATATCTACCTATATTTTTAAGATTTTGATAATGATGCTGTCAAGTCTGCTTGTTTGCATAACTGTTTTTCTAAAAAAGAGAATTGGTATTTTCTGTACTTTCATATAAATATACTTGTAACATGACATAACAGCCCGGTCACCGGTGCTTTCAAGTACAAGTGCAATCTTCTTTGCTTAAAGGAAGCCCAGGCAATTATTCTTACGGCTTTAGTTTCTGGCCTCTTTGACAACAGCCATGCAGAGCTTTAAGGTGCTGCTTGAGAAAGCTGTCGCCGTGGTACGTGTGTGTGTGTGTGTGTGTGTGTGTGTGTGTGTGCGCGCGCTTGTTCATCTGTCTCCAAAATGAAAGGTGTCTTAGAGTTTATGAAAATTGGCACTCACGTGGTCCAGTGCAGGGGTGTGTGTGTGAGAGAGAGAGGGAGAGAAAGAGAGAGAAAGAGAGGGAAAGAGAAGGGAGGGGAGGAGGGAGCCCCTCCGGTGGGCTGGCTGATGAATTAGTTATCCCTGCCTATCTCTCCTTTCTGCCCCTTTCTTTCTTAGACTGTTCTCTGCATGCGGAAAGGCACACGCAGGACCCAGAGGGTGTTTAAAAAGAAAAGCTGGAACGGGGTGGGACGGGCAGGTACTGACAGCAGGAGGCCAGGAGACCCCAGGAGGTCCCCGTGGTGGTGGGACAGAGGGAACGCTGACAAGGGAGACAAAGAACGCACTCTGTCTGGTGCTCGTGGGTGCGTGACCCCCTTGGGCGGCACTTGGCAGCCTTGCTTTATGTAATTCCCACACTGACACCTGCCCCCAGGCTTTGATATTGTTTTACCCCCATGGTTGAGATGGAACACGGGGGCTTAAAGATATAAAGACCTTGCTCATCCTGAAGTGGGTCCAAACCCACGACATGGGGCAATGAGGGCCCCAAAGCCCAGGCTGGAGGAGGGCTTCAGGCGGGTTCTACCAGGTCGCAGTCTGTGTAGCCTCTGGAATGAAGTTCATGGGCAAGCAGGCAGAACTCTGCCCATCAGCTCGGCTGGGACAGGCCAGAGTGGAGCATCCATATGTCACCCTGAGGGGCTGGCCCTCAGCTCCGAGAAGAGTCACCACCACTCATTCCCTTGGGCCATCTACCATCATCTTCACATTACCCACCTGGAAGGTGAGCCCCTCTAATGTCTCACGATGAGGTCCTTGGTCATGAATGACAGAACTCCACACCCCCAGTGCCCAGCACAGGATTAACGCTTTGGCTGTGGCTTGTTGAATTGCATTAAAAACCCAAAGGCAAATGTGTTTCCTGACACCAACTCCCTTCCAGAGGAAATGGGTCATGGATGACCTGACCCAATTTAATCTCTCAAGCCCCATTTGCCTTGGGCAGCTGGCTGGAGTTCCCTGAAGTGACCAGGGGCCCAAAGATGCTTATCTCCAGGCAGCTTCAGGGGAAGGAACTAGGGACTCTCTGCAGCCTGGGGGCCAAAGAGAATGACAGGCAGAGGGCAGAAAAAGGCCTGAAGGTGGACAATTTAACTAGGTGTTACTACTAGCAAACTGACCGGTGGCATCAGCCTGCCCTGTCTTGCAGGGGATGGGGAGGCTGCCCCCAGTTTGGGAGTAAAGAGGGATCTTATCTCTTCCATTAGGCTGGAGCCAGGCCTGACCGGGAGGCTGGGAGGCTTTGCAGAAGCTTCGGGGACCTGCACTTTGTGCTGATCTGGCTGAAGAGGGCAGATGGGGAAGTGGGCCAGAGGGAGTGAAAGGCAAGAAGTGATGTCAGGCTGGATGCACTGAACTGTGTGCTTAAAAGTGGTTAAGATGCTAAATATTATGTTATGTGTATTTCACCACAATTCGAGGGTGAGAGGAGAGACAGAGAGAGAGCAAGATCGAGAGAGAGAGAGAGAGGAGAGAGAGAGAGAAGAGAGAAAAGGAGGGAAGGAGGGAGGGACAGTGAGAGAAAAGGAAAGGAATGGCAGGTTGTACCTTTATGGTTCCCGACTTTCCTCCGAGGACAAGCACTGGTGGCAAAGCTTTCACTGACCAAAGGCAAGGTGAAGCAATACGAGGAAATGCCAGGCGTTTTTCTTCCCATAGGATTTTTCACCCGGACGCTGGCTCTTCATTCTGGGATTATGTCTTTCCTACTTCAGGGGTGCTCAATGGTCTTTAGGAGATGAGGAAGGGGTAGAGGTGTCTTCATCTTCTTTGATGGTTTCTATTGTGTTTTTGGACCCTTCATTGGACAGAATAAAAGGTTGCCAACTCTGTGTTGGTCTTGCTCCCGATACACTATTCTTCCTGGAAAAACATGCCATCCGAAAGCTTGGGAGCCCGTGCTGGAGATGGTGGGGAGAAGAGAGCAGTGTGAGGATTGCCTAGTGCAGGAGTCCCCGAGGGAGAGGAGGAAAGAGAAATGGCAAGAGACATGGTGGAAATTTGTGGCAACTGGGCTTGGGGGAGGCCAGAAGCCTGCCAGCTGTGGCCTTTAGAAAAAAACCCAGGTGCTCACTGGCCCTGCCTTCCTGCGGGCCATCTGATGCTGTCCAGGAGCTGTGGCTTTCTCTCTCCTGGTTGCTGGGCAGAAGTGCCCTGTGCCTCTTTCCATCCTAATCCAATGCCACAGGCACTCTCCAGCCACTTCTCTGTGCCAGGCTTTGTGCCGGAAGATTGGGGGGTGAGCAAAGCCCAGTCTTGCCCTTAGTGGGCTCACAGACCAGGGAAAGGGTTTGAGCCATTGAGGATGCCCAGCTGGATTGGGGTCATTGCTCTTGACTTTGCAGAGGGGGCAGGCCCACTGTCACAGAAACTGGAAGAGCAACACAAGGGTGACAGTGGGAGAGCTCAGGACAGGGCGTGAGGGTGTCTTGCTGCCTCTTGGAGGCCACCATCGTAACTATGAACCATGCTGGGCAAAGGAGATGGGTCAAGGTGGCCAGGGCAGCTGGGCCAGGCAGGGAGAGGACCTGGGCATGGCAGAAGGAGGGGAAAGTAGACTGTCTGGGCCTCAGGAGGTCGAAAGGACGTTGGGCTGTGCTGGGTCTCAGAACAACACAGCCTGGGAGGTTCCTAGAGGCTTCAAGGGGACGCCCCAGGCTGAGGTTGTGGATGTTGACTGTCATTTCCATTACTAGCACAATTATTAGTCTGTCATCCTGGTAAAAATGCGTGGTTGGAAATGCCAAACTGAGAAGCCCACTTTTCCCCACTGGGGATCTTCTGGGTGGGCATGTACGTCCTAGTGACCAGCATGTCCATGCTCAAGGATCATCTCTTGCCCTTTCCTGCCTAGTACTTCTGCCCAGAGGGGAGGAGCTGAGGGACCCCCCAGGGAAGCTGTGCCTGTGGCTGTCAGCCTGAGATGCCAGCGGCTTTCTTTGGAGTCTGTAATCAGAGTGTTTTTCACCGGTGTCTGCAGTGATCACCAGGGAGCCTCTGTGTCCTAGCCCCGCGGGATCCTGCCCTAATTCCCTCTCTCATGGGAGCTCAGCTAATCCTCACCCCAATCTGATTGTCACCAGTCTAGGTCAGCATTGGAGGGAGGTGTGGGCAGCTACAGCCCTTGCTGCTCCCAAGACAGACATCATCAGTTGATCACCGAGCTTTCCAACTCCCCACTCACCAACCCAATGGACCTCCCAGTCCTCAAAGCCACTCCAAGCAGTGCCAGTCAATCATATTTGCATGTGAGCAAAACCTGTTTGACATCCTACACCTGTACCAGCTCTCTTAGAAAGCTCTCAATTTTGGTCTTCTTTCTTTAAAAAATTTATGTTAAAATTAGGATGTTCCCTATCAAAAATTGCCTTTTCTTCATCTAGTACTTGGGTGAGACAAACTAGCCCCAGAAAGCAGTCAATAGGATGAACTGCCAGGTAGGACTTTTAGGAGAGGCAAAATGGATTAGGAAATGCTAAGTTCTCTGTTAAAGGATAATACCTGGATTTTTTAGGCCATCAGAGGTGGAGGCTTCTATAGACTATCTTGTTCCAACTTTGTACCCATTTTACAGGTTAGGACTCTGAGGCCTCAGCAGTTCCTGTTTGGTCAGTGAGCTCAGGGAGTTAGTTCCAGGAGTGGGCATCAGTCTGTGCACCCACTGGGTGACACTGCTCAGCATTGGACAGGGTTGAGTTGGAACTCCATTGCTGATGGGTTGGGTGACTTTGGGCCAGTTCCTTGCCACCCCCCTCCCCTATTGGTAAGGAGGGAGGTCAGCCCTGGAGCATCCAGTGCTCCTTGAAACATCAGGTATCCTAAAAGGATGTGTGCAGGCTTGTATCTGGAAGAGAAATCCCTAGATTCAGCCACAAGTAACAGGATCCCTCCTCCCCCCACCAACTTTGGCTTAAATCAGTGAAAGACTTTCCTTTTCTCTCCTCCCGAGAAGTCTAGAGATAGGCTGCCAACTACCAGCTCAGCTGGGAGATCCCCACCCAGGCAGCGCTGAAGGAACTGAGAGGCAGACACCCAGACAGAACAGCAACGTGGGTCTGTCCAGGGGACCAGCAGCCTACCAAGCTGAAAGCCTCAGGGGCTGACAGCATTCCAGGCTGAAAACCTCGAGCAGACTCTGACCCACTCATTTATTCTCTCTTAACAGGTGATCATTATTAATAAATAGGTGTTCTGTATATATCAAGTGGGCAGCTGTTACCCACTTACCACTAATTGCAAACTGAAAGGTATTCTCTGCAAGGGAGCCACGGGGCAGGGTAAACAAACTTAATGTTTCTCAACAGGAAGGACAGTTGCTGGCATCATCTCAGCTTACAGGTGTCAGAGCCAAGGCTTTGTAACTTCTTTATATCACAGTTACCTCATGGCCCAGGATGTTTGCCGTGCCTCCAATTTTTCATCTGGGTTCCAGGAGGAGGAAGACGAGTGAGTTAGATGAATCGGCTCTCCTCGTTAGGAGCTTTCCCAGAAGTTCCACCAGCCACTTCTGTTCTCATCTTGTTGGCCAGGGCTGTGTCACAGGCCTTCCCCACATCTGCAAGCAGTCTGGGAATGTGCACCCCAATAAGATGGGGGCTCTTCTAGTAAGAATGAAGGGTGAGGTGCATTGGAGTGGCACTTAGCTGTCTCTGCTACAGTTGGAGGGAAAACACAGAGTTCATCCTGACCCTCCATGTCTTGGCTATATGCTCCTTGTGTGAAACTTGAAGGCATCCTCCTTGCAGTGTGAAAGTGACCTGCCACCTGCCTCTCAGGGGTCCCCGAGTCCTTCCAGTCTACCCAAAGGTATTGCAGACATTCTTCCTGCAAGACTTGGGAACCAACAAACAGATCAAGTGCCCTGCTGGCCAGAGTTTGTGTGCAGGAACAGCCCCTCCCATCTTCGTCCTGGCCGTGAGCACCAGGGCTAAGCTTTTGAACCCTTTCTTTGTTTGGATTCAGCCCAGGCAATGCCTATTTGCTTTGATTTCTTCTTGAGCATGCAGAGCTCCTGGGTGCAAATCTTGGAAAATGAGGATCTCTGAGCCTTTCCAGGCCAGCCCTTTGTTTTCTAGCAGACAATTGAGGCTTTGAAATGCAAAGCGGGTGGGGGCACCCCACAGGTGGCCCTCATCACCCAATTGCCAGTGCCTGCAGGCTCCTTCAGCAGAGGCCCAGAGTCAAAGGACTTAAAACCAGCTGTTGTTTCTCCCTTAGTTTCTGTATATGAGAGAAATGCCTTCTGTTTTTCAAAGTAAGAACAAGAAGGAATTTGTTTCTAAAAGAACATTAAAACACAGGCTTTTGGTCTAAAAGCAAATTGTACAGCAGGATGTTCAGGGCCTTGAAGCACAGACAGCAGGACTCAGCATCTCCCAGTGCCCGCTCTCCGTTGTCATGGTAACACCATCCCCAACCCAACCACCTTGTTCAGCCGGGAGACAGCCATCACAAGGAGGGACCTCCATTTCCCCCAAGGATCCTGGGCCTCCTTTCTGAAACGCTTGCTTCTGAGCTCAGCAACCAGGGACACCAGGCCAGCCCATCCCCAGCACCTCTGTGGGGATGAGGGCCAGAGCCCTGCAGCCCCTCTTCCTTTTCTGATGAGAAAGGGAGGGAAGAAAACATACACCCAGGGCCTGCACTGTGGTCATGACGCTTTCAAAAAGCCTGTGCTGTGGAGTCATGATCAGAAACCTGGTGCAGAAACCAGAGTGTGGAGAGGGTCCACCGCCTGCCTCAGAGCAGCCAGCTAGGTGGTGAGTGGTAAATTTGGGACTTGAACCCAGGCATGACTGGTTCCAAGCCCAATGCTCCACTCTAAGGAATGTTCCCTGGGCCTCATTAGCCTCCCCTCCCCTCCCCGCCCCTCCTCTTCTCCCTCCCCCCCTCCTCTCCCCCCCCCTCCCCTCCCCCTCCTCCCCCCCTCCCCCCCCCCCCCCCCCCTCTCCCCCTCCTCCCCTCTCCCCCTCCTCCCCTCTCCATTCCCCTCCTCACCTCTTCAACTCCTCTCCTCTCCTCCCCTTCCATCACCCCATCCCCTTCCCCTTCCCCTCCCGCTCCCTTCCCCACCCCTCCCCTCCTCCCTCCCCTCCTCTCCTCTGCAGGCTGCGGGCTGCTGCCACTCTGGCAACTGGTGAGCTAGCTGGAGGCGACATTCCACAGCAGGGGCAGCAGGGCTTTCCTCCTGTGCCCACTCCCGCTGGGAAGTCCTTTGACTCCCACCATTGATGGTAGCTGGCAACACCAGGAGGAGGCCCCAGGGGATGGGAGCAGGTACCCACTGCCTGTCTACCTCCCCCCTGGAAACGCACAGACAGGCCAGCACTTGCAGGGGCAGGCAGAGGACAGAGTTGGCTTTGCCTGGTCACTGCCTGCTGAGAAACGAGGCAGTCGCTTGTGCATGTTCCAGAAGTTTTGTTGGGGAGGAGGAAGTGGACAGAGGAAGTTGTGTGTGTGTGTGAAGGGGTGGGCAGGTGGGGGGAGGCACGTGTGTGTGAGCGTAGCATGTGCGAGTACTATACACGCATCTCCATGCAGAAGCACACCTGGGCAGCCCTGGCTTCCAGCGCTGGGCTTCAGCACCACAGACCCCAGCCTGTGGCCTCTCTCAACCCAGGGAGACCTCAGCGGGCTCAGGACATTTTCCCCAGAGTCCAGAGTTTTCTGCCTCTCCTGGGAGCAACTGGTGTCCTCTCCCTGGCGTTCTCCACAAAGAAGGGCAGGTCAGTTGACGCCTTAGATCTCTGCCATCTGGGAACTTCCTTGGGCTGGTTTAGAAACAATGCTCTTTTTCTCAGGATAGCAGATAACCTGCTTTGAAAGAGGGCTTAATTCTGCGGGTCCTAAACTTTCTCATCTCTCTCTCTCTCTGTTTCTGTGTGTGTGTGAGGAAAAATGGCAAGTTTCCAACACCAGCATTGGAGGAATGGTATGGTATGTCTTCCTCCATTTCAAGTCCAAAAGACCGGAGCTCTCATTCCAAAGCCTCCCACCCAGATAGATTTGTTAGTTTCATTAGTCATCCCTCCCATGGTGGAGGCCGTGCCTCCTCAGAACCCACCCTGGAGGCTGCAGGTGGAGGGGCAGTGAGTTTGGCCTGCCCGTGACCTCCACCCCTCAGGTTGTGAACGAGGAAGTCTGAAGAGCTGAGAATGTTTTTCAAGATGCTCCCAGATGAGGCTGATGTCACATGAGATGGAGTCCAACCTCTGCATAAAGGAGGTTCTCATACACCAGTTCTCAAATTCACTCTACCCTCAGCGAAGTCTGTGGGCGCAAGCTCACTTCATCCTTTGTACCTGGAGACCTGATTATACTAACCTGATACTGACCTGTTCATGTAGCCAGCATGGTGTGTTTCATGCAGTGTGGACCAGGCAATGGCATGCAGGGTGTGTGTGTGTGTGTGTGTGTGTGTGTGT